ACACCCACCATAATGTCAACCTTATGAGCCTGTCCCTTAATTCTAACCCATAAGCTCTCAACCCATTCCTCATTTGCCCCCAGGCCAAGCTCAATGCATTCCAGTTGCTCCCTCACATATAGACAAGTCCCCCACCTCTCCTTGTTGGCCTGTCTTTCCTAAAGAGGCTACAGCATGCCAGTCATGCGAGTTGTCCCACCACGTTTCTGTGATGGCGACCAAGTCGTAGCCGTCCTGCTGTATAATGGCTTCCAGCTCCTCCTGTTTATTGCCCAAATGTGTGAACGGCTCAGAAAAGCTTTTAATTCAGAGGATTACTTTATCAAAGCAATGATTCACCAAACTCAACAACACTTCTTAACACAAGTACTATAGTTGAAATTGTCCATATTCAACCCAAAATCTCCCAAATGTTGATCATGATCCCTCTTCACAGAAGCAATTTCTTTCCAGAAATATTACGCATTACAGATACCAGATAGAACATCTGTAGTAAGTGCCAAACAGTGCTATTTGTCTATGCTTTTATTAGTTCTCTTTCACAATTGTTTTCTAGGAGAAGTCTGTCACACAGTCTCAACGGCAAGACTTCATGGTACACACTCAAGGACAGAATCTCTGTCAGTTTTAAGATATTACCTCTGTGATGCCCAGAGGAGACACATTACAATTATTTTAGACCCCTTAAGAGCCCATGTATGCACAGACATGGTAGAATGTTCAACAAATTTAAAACAGAGATAGAAAAGTTAGTGCAAAAGACTGTAGATATGCAGTTTCTGCAGTTTTAAAGTAGCACAGGCATGTTCACGCTCAGTTTAAGCCAACATGAAAAAAATTTTTGCTTAAATCACAGATGAAGCGGTCTACTCTGTGTTTAAACTGATTTTAAAAACACACCTTACACTCAAATAGTGATACTGTGTATAAGCCTTCAGTTTCACAGGCCACAAAGGCCATTAGACCTTAATTGTGTCTATGGCAATACTATGAACTGACTACACTCTGTGTTCAGCTTGTTTTTAGTAAACTGACGTCTGTTGCAGCAGACCCCAGAATCACACAGAATCACAGAATGGTAGGGGTTGGAAGGGACCTCTTGGGATCATCTAGTCCAACCCTCCTGGCGAAGCAGGGTCACCTACAGCAGGCTGCACAGCACTGCGTCCAGGCAGGTTTTGAATACCCCCAGAGAAGGAGACTCCACATCCTCCATGGGCAGCCTGTTCCAGTGCTCCATCACCCTCAGAGTGAAGAAGGTTTTTTTACAATAATTTTCATTTTGATCAAATTTAATCATTACTGGAATTCTACCTCATTAATACAATTACACTAAGGAATTAATTGTGCCTCTTTATGACAAACTTTTTTTACTGTAGCAGATTCATGCTAGCGCAGCTTCCAGCACCTCAGTCGGCTTAGTTCCATATGCAGGACAACTCACCTACACTGGTTCACCTTCTGTGCAAATCACCCAAAGGCCAAAGCTTTCAGCAAGAGTTATAACAGAAAAATCACAAATAAGACATGAAATTATCCTTCAGAAGAGTAACAGGGCAAGACTAGAAGAAGAAGATATCCCAAGGTTTCAAAATAAATCTTTATTTCAAAATAGTGTTTGAGAATAGCACATCCAGTTGATATAAAATACAAATAGCAAGTTACCATTTTTTCAAATGAGCCAGTTTGCAGAACCATATACTGAAACTCTGTACAAGCTCACAAGAACTATTATAGAACAGTTAAGTTCAATGTTTTAACTTTATTTAAACTATATTTTCACATTTGTCTCCTAATTCTGCTTGTTCTGATTACACAAGGTGCTTATTGATTGCCTATAGAGTGAAAATTACAAAACAGAATTTAAGAATATAAATACAGAAAGGAATTCCTTAAACTACATACTAATATTCTCTGCTACAAAGATACATTTTACAAAAGTGCTAATATCTCTATGACAAATAGTAGCAGATTAATCTAAATGTCAAACAAATCACAACATTTTAAAATTTTTTTAATTGTCCATAATACTTTGACACTTCTAATCACTATGAGGGTTAATAAACACTATTTTCACTTCCTAGTATTTCACAAATGAAGTGGGAAAAGAAATAATACATCTGCGTATGTGTGTGTGTGTCTGCACATGTATGAGACAGAGCCTGTACACATATGCATATACCCATCAACAGAGTTCCTGTATTTAGTATCTGTATTTTAACAGTACTGGAGGTAAATGCTCCACAGTAAATACAATTCCCAAGTTTTCATAATTTCAGTCAACCAAAAAAACCTCTGAGTTCCCATAAGCAGAAACAAGGGTTTGTGCAGGGCAAACTGTATAAATAAACTTTTACACAGAAAAAGGACTCCCTAGATTGATTTCTTTTTTTAATACTATATCATCCTGTGGTAAAAGTAGCTTTTACTAACATCCAGTATTCACTGAAAGCATGATATACAAATGTGCAGTTTTCCAAACACAAAACTGGAACTGCTCCAGCAGGGCACGGACATTGCGGCAGGACAGGAGACTGGAAGTCCTCTTCCCTGTCCCCAGAAGCACAATCAGGCAAGAAACAGCCATAACTCACATCTCTGTGACCAGAAGGACACAAGCAAGGACAGTAAATGGTGCTGCCTAGCCCCAGAGAGCATGTTCCCACCACCACGGTGTCAACCATAGATCTACAATGGGCGAAGTACTGCCTATGCTTTTTCCAAGGTGCACTGAGTCCCAGTGCTCACTGTGATGCCCCCAGTTTCCCCAGAGGCATTATGCCTTACAAAGGCAAAGTGCCTCCAGGCACTGCCACTCAACCAAGGCACCTCTTCCACCTTCCCAATGTGGTTCAGACTTTTAGGAGCCATAATTGAGCCCCATGGGCCTGATTCTGAGCTCAGGGAATTTATCAATTTAACAATATGATTCTTTATTAGCCTGCCTATTACCATAATAACTTTGTGCTCTCTAGCTGGAGCTAAACCAATGGAATACTCTGACATTAATGGAATGCACTACATTCACGCAACACAGATCTGAATCTGGCCCAATATATGTGGAAAAAAAAACCCCAACATGGTAAGAATCAATTCTTGTAGTAACTATCAAAAAACATATAAGAAATCCTCTGAGTAAATCTGCATTGCATCAGAATACACCACAATATTGCAGATGTTAAGGCAAAATGTAACACCTCCCAGCTCCCTAGTATAGTTGAGGATTTGGCTACGTTACCTTCAATGGTAACTTGCAGTAGTAGGCACTACTAGTCAGTGTTCACAGGGAGAAGCTTTGGTTAATATCAGACCATTTGTTGACTTAAGCTTTACACTCCTGTGATCTTTAGTTTGTCACATTTGCATAAATTGAATTCACTACAGCGGAAAGAGACATTTATGGTCAATTCACTCAACAGAAATACGCTATTGGCTATTGATGACTCTTATAACAAGGCTTAAATTTGAGATCCAACAATCTACAAAGGGGAAATCTGAAGTGCAGATAGGAAAGTTTAAGTATGTGAGATCGAGATGTATAGGTGGTTTACACAGAAAAGTTAATGCGCTACAGACATGGAGGGGAGAAACCAGCAGATGTTAAAGAAAACGGGTACCAATAGTCCCTAAATCTGGGAATGCCATAAACCTCTTATGTGTCGGACCGCATTCATTTCACAATTACAATGACAAAGAAAAATATTTCTCAGAAAACCTTAACAGTGTT